GGAAAGGAGGGTAAAGAAAGGAAGGGTCTTTATCAAGAGGGGTTTGACTGGTCTTTAAAACCAAATTCAGAAGGTGAAGCAGCCGAAGCTGATGATTTTGTAATGCCCCCCTCTGCACGTGCCGTACACACACAGTTTCAGGCGCCAATTATGGCTCCATTTACCCTTTTTCTTTTTCTTTTTTTCATTTCCCCTTTTTAATACTAAATAATTAAAAACAATTTTGTGTAGACATTTCAAAACTTGGGCTTCTCTCCTTTTTTTTTTATTTATTTATCCATTGTTTAAATGTATTTTTTTGTATTATTTTTTCAAAATAAATATAGATCCTGCTTCGACCGAAGAGATTTAGGTCTCATATAATTTTGTTGCATGTTCATGTTATATGTATACCTTTTTTATCGAAGGAAGAGTTTGATACAACATAAGACATAAATTTCGTTTTATTATAGAAAAGATTCAAAATTAAAAAGTCACTTTTTTCGATAATTGGGTTTCAACAACAAAAGTAATAGAGATGGTAGGATCAACGAGCATATAAAAGCTTTATTAATCCAATCTACTTCAAATCTAAGATGGGGCCATTTTTTTATTCGATGAAAAGTGCCCTTAAAGTTTCAAAAAGAGAGAAAAACAAAATGTAATATAAAGCTAGGGAAGAGATAAAGAAAGACATATGATATTAGTTCCACCTCATTTTGATTGGTTAAGTATGATCGTATTTATACCATTTAATGACTAACTCTGATACCATTTATAACAATTCAAGCTCTCCACTAACAAATATTGTTAATTTTGGTTTGTTACGTATCGTTATCAATCTCATAGTTTTAAAACGTGTATGTTAATGAGAGATTTCTTTACTTTTATAAGTAACATTTCGTTCTTCTCTCGAATCAATATGGGCTCTTTAGCTATGTATCTCTCAAAACCCATCTTCCTCAAGTTTGTAAGAAATATCCAATGGCCATTTGCTTACCTATATATCTCATTCTCCCTATAACAATCATGTAATTCATGTAAAAAAAAAAATAATAATAATAAATAAATAACTTAAATTGAACGGAAAAAGACACTTATCTTTTTATAAATAAAATTGTGTGTATATATATATATATATATATGACCTTTTTTAGGGTATTTTAAATCTAGCGAACCAAATATAATTTTATTAATATAAATATAGTGAATACTAGGAAAATTACCATAAAAAATCAAAGTGAAAAGCTCAAGTCAAGGCCCAGTTTCATATGAAAGCCCAATGGACCAGCTTCGAGGCCCAACCAAATGGGAATTTAATTTAGACTTTTTTTTTTTTTTTTTTTTCTAAAATTGGAAGAAAATAGGCATTAGAAAAGTGGTTGATGAGAGGTAAATATCAACATTGCAAAATGAAATTTAAAACCTAACTAACATCCACTTGTCTCCTACCATTTTCAACCAACTTATTTATTTATTTATGAAATTAAATTTTCATATTTTTCAATTTAATTATATAATATTATTGATAATTCAAATATATCATACTAGATTAAAGCTTAGTTTATTTATATAGTATTATGAGATAAATATTTTTGTTTACATTTTGATTTTTACACTTTTCCTCTAATTAATATTCTTGTTTCTGTACATAAAAGTTTAAAGAATATATAATTTTTTTAAAAAAAAAAATACACTACTAATGATAAAATTAAAATCATATGGTTTTTTCTTTAATTATTATTATTTTTTTTTTTGTGGAAATTAATCATGATTAGAATTATTACATGTAATAATGTCATTATAATTGCTATAGAATATTTTAAATAATAAATTATTATGTAAAATGCAAGTGTCTGAATTTGTTTGTTGAATATTGTGTAGTGAATTTTCAAGTGGTTAATTAATATATTAAATGGGGTGGGATTTTATGAAGCTCCTTAATTGATGCTACAGGTTTGGACATATTAAATATTGTGTTGTTCAAATACACAATTATTATGTCCTTAGTACTTTAGGGCCCTTTCTATAACTTCTTTCTCGTATCCCTCCTTACCACTTTCATGCGCATTAATTATTTCGATAATTAAAAGAAAAATCATGAATTTATAAGTATAGAACATTATTTCTATTGAAATAAGAGTTTATGTTCAAAATGGATAATATTATACTATGGTGGAGATCACTCATAAAGTAGCAGAGGAGGTTAGGTTTGAAGAATCTAAATCATTATAGTGTTTATGAAGCGGTAAAAAAAGATGGAAAAAGGTAAAACGGTAGGTGGTTGGAGGTTGGTAAAAAAGTCGAGAGGTTGAAGAAAGGGTAAAAAAAGGTAAAAAATATATATATGGTTTTGGTTAGATACAAAGCAGTTTCTCGGGACACAAAGCGTGGTTGAATTGAAATTAAGATTGTGAGTGCAGGCGTGAGATCAAAAGCTGTTAAAAGCCTCCACCCACCCTCCCATTTCCACTCTTTTTATTTATTTATTTATTTATATCGAAAAAATCCTCATTTTAAATAAGATATTATTTTGTAATTTGAATTATTTGAATTTAAAAAGAAAAATGTTGGTTTAGGGGTTTGGAGAGCGTAGGCATCACGGATTTAGGGTTTCGAAGAGCATTGATTGATGGATTGATTTAAATATAATAATTAAACCCTAAACCCTAAAACCAAAAACATAATCATTCATTTCAAATACCACTTTTATTATCTCAATGCATTTGTCTCCGCTCCCCTTCCTTTTACCTTATTAACTATTATTATTATTAATTATTATTCAACTCTAAATTAATATTAATTATTTCCTTCCATTCTGTTTTTTACTTCTTCTATTCCATTCTTACCCATTCTCTATTTCAAACTCCCATGCAAGATTCCCTTCTCCCCTTATTCCTTTTTTATTTTTTTATTTATTTATTTTATTTTGGTATAGTGGGATTTTACATAAAACCCAACCCTAACATTATTACACTCTTTTCTTTAACCCTTAAATGACCAAAATATCCTTACTCTTATCCATTATATTTTATATTTCATGTCCCCACACCCTCTGCCTTCTAAATCATTTCAGGTATTTACAGATAACCATATCTTATATTACAACCTTAACTAATGTATAAATTTTGTCTTATAGTCTTACATATATATATAATTCACTTAAACTATAGTTTTTCTTTCAATTATTCAAACTATGGACAGCCAATTATTATTATTTTTTTTTTTATTATTTTTTGGGCGAGTATGATGATGTTGTGAATAAAAAATGTGGGGTGGGAAGTGGGTAGCGATTTGTGACATAAATGCGAAATTAAAGGGTTTGTCCGCAAACTCAGTTGACCTATTTATATATATATATATATATATATCAAATTCAATTATTTGCCTAAAAAAATTAAAATTTTAGTATAAAGTATTTTTTTTTTCGATGTGTCACATCACACGAGCTATGGAGATTTTACAATTTAACTAAAATCACATTTTAACTTAAATAAACTATATGTTAAAAAAAGACTATATATTTTATTTATTTTAAAATTAAATAAATGTAAGTTTGAAAATAATTGGTTATAAATGGTTACTCTAGTAAATTTCCATTCAAAATAGTGAAAAAGTCAGTCTTTTGGTTACTTCCTTTTATTGCTATTTTTTAAAAAAATGATTCGTAACTTTTATTTTTTTTAAAGTTTAGTTTGATTCAAGTTGGAGAAAACTTTTATTTTAATATATAGTTTTTTTTTTTTTTAGCTATATTCACTTTCAATATCTAAGTAAATCTTACTTCTTTAATGTAATTATTACTTATTCGTTTTGGCTCGTTATTTATTATTGTCAGCTTCATGATTTTAAAACGTGAGTTTCTATATTATTACCGATGTTTGTTGTCTGACTCTAATACCATTTGTAACAGTCAAAGCTCACCCATAAATGCTTTTGACTTGTTATGTATCGTTGTAGACTCATGATTTTAATATGTAGATGTGAGAATGAAAAAGAAAAATAAAGACAAAAAAGAGAAAAAGTAAAGATTACAAAAGAATTCTAATAATGTCATCATGTTCACTGAATTGAAGTTCTTGAGAAATCCACTAAAACATTTACTATAAAATATACCCATAAAACTTAAGTGCATCAACCTTTTAATTTATAGTTTATAATAAACTATGATTTATAAATATTAAACCTAAAAAGAAAATATTATAGGAACAAATGTTAATGAAAATTAAACTGCATTAAATAGGGGGAGTTGGGGTTTTTATAAATTAACATTAAAAAATGAACCAGCTTTGTTCGAATTAATTAGTTTAATAAATTAAAATTAAAGTTAAATCGAATATGAGGGGGGGTATCATCCAGTGCGGTTAAGGCGTAAAGTAAAATCACCATGGAGACCTAATCATGTGGATGCAATTGAATTCATAGAAAAGCCATGGGGACCACAAATCTCTGAAACGCATTTGATGAAATTTTGTTTGCTGAGACTTCATTTCCTTTTGTTCTTCTTCTTCTCTCTGCGAGAAAATCAGACATGGTCCACGTGGGTAAAGATAAGATGACCAAAATAAATAAATAAATAAATAAATAAATGAATAAAAATAAACACCCCCTAATCATTTATTCCATTTTCATTTAGAATTTGTTTGGTTAAATTTGGTTAATTTAATTTTAAATTATTATTTTATTGACGTATATATTAAAATTTTGATTTACATTTTTTGAATTGATAGTGTAAGTGGAATGTCAAATGTGTCCAATTATGTTCATAAAACAGTAATTTAATGATAATTAGTTGTTAACAATTTTAATAATATTTTTAAGAGTTGGCCTAATTTAAATGTTTTAATGCATCGAGGTTTAAATTTCAAATACAATAATAGTAATTCAATTTCAAACCCTAAGATATTATTACTATTAAAATAAAATAAAAAACGAGGGGCAGTTTCGTCATTTGGTATTCTTCAGTGGATGTAGTAAATAAAAACCTCCATTTAATATAGCGCCTGCAACTTTCCCTCCGTTTCCACTTCTTTAGACACAGCGACGCACGATGAGACACAGCCATTACCCAACTTGACCCATTTTTTACCCTTTTCCACAGACAAGAAAGGAAAAGAAGATTCCGGCAAATCTCCCACGACAGTACCACGGCGGCGGCAGCGGCATTGTATTGAGCTCCGTTAATGGCGTGGGTCAAATCCCTTCAGTGCAAATCCAGAGTCTTCGAAGACGTTTATCATCCAAGCCCTAAGAATCTAATCCCCAGTGCCAGCTGTCGGAAGGGCGTTCAGAGCCTCAAAGACGTCGTTGAAACCACCAAATCAAAGAACAAGAAGCCCAAACCCTCGCCGCCCGACAGAAAACCTGTTCCCAGAATCTCCAAATCAGAACCCGGATCGAGTCCCTGCACCCGCTCCAGAACCAGCGTTTCCTCCCGTTCATTAATAAGGCCCAACGATCTCCTCTTTCCAGCGCTTTCGGAGTTGCCGGAGGGCCACAATTCACGGAGCGTCGTCGAGATAATCTTCCACACGAGGTGGACCCCCAAGGCGTTTACGGGTCAGGTCGAGATGATTTTCAAGGTCCAGAACGGGTCCAAGACGGTGGCACGATTTGAAGAGTATCGCGAAATGGTCAAGGCCAAGGCGGCAATGGGATGTCCCGCCGACGAGGAGAATGCCCGTTCTGTCGCCGACGGGAACGAGGTCATGAGGTTTCACTGCATGGGTCCGACATCCGACAGTGCAAAATACGACGGTAGCAGCGCCGCCGCCGGGTGGAGTTTCCCCGGGGTGAGAGGGTCGTCATCGTCAGCGATTTGCACTTTCGCCGGAAGTGGGGTAGCCCACGAGAACGCCGGCGGAGGAAGAGGAAGAAGAGCGATGTTGGTTTGTCGGGTCATCGCCGGTCGGGTCTCAAAGCAAGCGAAAAAACCCGACCCGTTTCTGGAAGGCCGAGTTGGAGTGGACTCGGTGAGTAGGGAAAACGGCGAGTTGCTCGTATTCGACTCGCGTGCAGTTCTCCCTTGTTTCCTCATCATCTACAAATTGTAAAAAAAAAAAAAAATCATTATTATAATTTTTTTTTTATATATTTTGGGATATTTTTTTGGCGACGAAATGAAAATCTTTTAAATTTTCATGTTTCACCATAATTAATTGTCTTTATTTTTCATGCGTGATATAATTATGTTAAAAAATGTTAATTAACCAATATTATTTCCTTCATAATTAATTAATTTTCTGTCGTTATTCCTTAGAATTGGCTCAGAAATTCACGTGTTGTTTTGGCAGATAGGAAACAAAATGAATATGGAAAATAAAATATTATTAAATAAATGTAAAAAAGGAGAAAAAAAAAAAAAAAAAAAAAAAAAAAAAAAAGGG